GTAGCTAAAATCTGCAGGACACCGGCCCTCCAGGACAGAGTTTGGACCCCCTACATGATCCAAGGCAACTGTATTAGGGAACACTTCCCAAAAAGACACTGAATGTCATCTATGTTCATGCTAGTCTGTCCTTATCCTTCCTCCTTTTACATGATCATGGATCCGAACCATATCCAGAGGCGATGGGAAACCCTAGTGACAGACAAATCTCTTCATTGATTCAGTCAGCTAGTCTGAACATCCACCCAATGACCTAGTTGGACCTGCATCTACTCCACGACAGACACTCATCATTCTCAAACCCTACGGCATCCAAGCTGTGGCTCTGCCCATGACGTTTGGTCAGAGGAGAACTGGTCCCCCAGCTGAGGCTGGTTTCTTCCAAGGTTTGATCTTCACTTCCATCAATTGGTGGAGTTTTGCTTCCTTGCCTCTGTTGACTCTGACTTAGTTGGGGCTGGATGAGCATCAGTAGAGTTTCTCTTCAATGGATCGGCCTTCAACAGTGACATTTATACTAATCTAATCTGTAATCAGTTTTAATTAAACTAGAACTACACTAGCATTCTAATCTCTATTTCCATCCCTATTTCTACCTTTGGATATTCATCCCGTGGCCTCTAGAGATTATGCAGTGCCATTGATGTGATCCAAGACCTGTGAAGAAATTATGCCAAGGTATCCATAATCCTGAACAAGGCCATATCCTGAGCTGATGCTGTAGAGGTCATGTAGGAGAGCATGAAACTGACTCCTGAAAGACCCCAGTGACAGACAATTCTCTGCATTGATCCCGTGGGCCAGCCTGATCACCAACTCACACCTGCAGCTTCTCCAAGATGGATGTCCAGCGTTCTCCAGCCTACAGCGCCTAGACTGCAGCTCTGCACCAAACATTTGACCAGAGGAGAAATGGTCAGGCCCAACTGAGCCTGGTTTCTCTCTAGGTTTCTTTTTCCTTCACTTTTGTCAATTGGTAAAGTTTGTTCTTCGCCACTGTTACCATTGGCTTGCATGGTTTAGGACTTGTGGAGCTGTGCATCGATGGATTTGCTCTTCAGTGTTTGAACTTTCAGCAGCGAAATTTAAACCACACTGAACTAAACTAAACTGAACTTCAACTCTGAAAACTGGACAGACAGTATTCATTTACTAGAACTTCTATGTTAAGATGCTTTGACACAATCTACTTTGTAAAAGCACTATAGAAATAAAGATGAATTGAATTGAATTTTACCCCTCCTCTTCTCTCCTGCCTGCCTGATTTGCTGAAATATAGCTTTTTATTCTCTTTCTTCATCTATGTTAAGCTTTTTGTACCAACATACATTGTAAAAATCGTTATCGAAAAAAAAGAAAATAAAATAAAAATAAAAATATGAGACTTTATAAAGAAATGCCTTTTATTTGTATTATTAATTAATTCACTTTGGGATTATATATATATATATATATATATATATATATATATATATATATATATATATATATATATATATATATATATATATAAATCGTGTGAATCTCATTGTGGTTTCGGTGATTTTCAATTCATCCAAAAGCTATAGACCAGTGGTTCTCAAACTTTTTTCATCAAGTACCACCTCAGAAAAAATTTGTCCCTCCAAGTACCACCATATGACCAGTATTGAAATACAGTAGCGTAATAGGCCTAATTAGGCAGCTACAGCTCTGCACAGTTTAAAAATGCAGAAGATTAATTACTATGATTAAGAACATTTATTATTATCATCTACTTTAAACCTTATAAATAGTTTGAACATTACCACTGCTGTGCTTATATGTAAAAAAACAAACAAATAAAATAAAATGTCAGCGATTAAATTAAAATGTGCTTTTAAAAGTTAATTAAAATGGTAGGCTACTGTTCTTAAAAAGTAAAAAAAAAAAAATCTACTGTACTTAAATGTAAAGTGTTAACCTAAAGTATCCTATTCATAAAAACCTGGAAATGTTGCTTGGATCTTATAAATATAGGCTATATGTCATCATATTCATATATGAACCATTTTTGATACATTTTTAAATATATCTTGCATGTACATTTGACATATTGGATTACTCTGCGTATCACTAGAAGGCAGCCTGCATTCCACAAGTGGTACACGTACCACAGTTTGAGAACCACTGCTATAGACCATTTCAATGTGGTCATGTCATTGACCCATGAACATTTCCTGCTTGTTATCAAACTATTTCATAACTGTAACAAGCGGCAATTCAATCACAACTTGATGTTAAAACAGCTATCATAACATTTTTTATCAATATGTGGCTCTCTTTGAATTCTTGGAAGCTATAGGAATTAAAAAATGTAAATCAGGAAATATGTTGGGACCATTGTTTTTGTTTACATTCATCAAAATGGTCGATAAAAAGCCCTAAATATTGTAGAAGATTTGTCCATTTTTATTTACATCATATATATATATATATATATATATATATATATATATTAATGCACATATATCATTTGAAATATCTCTGGAGTCTGATTCGTCTCTTTCTCCCTTTCTCTCTGTCTGTCTTTTCCCTGGGGTTTCAGTACCATGCCAGCATTAATTAAAAGTCTCTTCAAACTAGGCTATTTATATCACTCCTTCATCAAAACAACCTAAAGCACCCCACAAAAGAGCCTTTTCAGGGGCACGTCCTTCAATTTTTGATCACAGTGCAGCATAACAAGTCAAAACCAGGATGAAAAGCTTGTAAATTTGATTAGCTACTTTGTCTGTGTTTTGCTGGTTCAATGCACTTCCTCTCTTACGTCGCCTTCAGCCTTGCTCTCAGAGGAAGAGAGATCTAGGAAATCTATATTCATCCCAGCTGGAAGTTTTCGCCACAGCTTTTTAAAGCATCATGTCGTGTGTCTCCTCAGCATAAAACTGACTACACTGCCATAGCAAATCATGGCTTTATAACAGCCCTGACTAAACGGTCCTTCTAACTTGCGCACATGCAGATGTCCTTTTCAAAACATTCCCAGTTGCTATGATACCACAGAGACGGTATTAGCGTCGGATATTAATTGGATTTCATAGTTCAGATGTGACTTTCCAATACAGGAGGACATCAGGCAGCGTGTGTGTGTGTGTATGTGTGTGCGCACATGCGTGTAAACTGATGCAGTGGCATATTTTACAGAAATGCAGCACAGCAGTTTTATTGCTTGCAGGTCTCTATGAACATTTGTCATAATTATAGCATGTACACTCATCCACGCACACTTGTGGTTTAGAAAAGTCGCTCTGCTTGAACTGGATCTTATAAATGAAGAGCCGTTCAGCACCTGGCCTCGGGGATCCAAATAATTGTAACACTGTGTCACATAAATTATTTTCCCTCACTTCATTTTCTTTCTGGCTGACTGGGTTCTGTCTTGACAGTATGTGCTGGTGAGCCAGAGCAACTGGAGCAAATAAAAACCCATCTCTCGCTTCCTCTGCTTTCTCCCTATTCCGTCCTGCACACCTCTCTCCATCTATGTCTTCTCCGCCGCCACGCTTCATTTGTTTTAATTTTCCACTTCCTTTCTCTCTTCTCACAGACAGGTAGTAAACAATTAAAGAGGTCATATGATGCTATTTTGAAAGGTCATTATTAAGGATGTTAAGATAAGAAGATTTTCACAAGCTTCGACCTCCACCTAATGTGTATTGGGAGTGGCGGAATTGAGTGCACATTTCTCAAGATATCTGTCAAAGATGGTTTAGGATTTGTTGTGCATCAAGTCTTCCCCCAGTTAGTCATCTCTCCATACATTTGTCATGTGATCAGTGAAAGTCAACTCTGGATATGCTGTGCAGCAACTGGAACAGAGCAGACACTTCCATTATAACTAGAGTGTTTGTTTTTCAACCAAACTAACTAAAACTAAACTATGTGTTCACTTCTTTTAAAACATTTCAAGAGTTCACACTTAGCTGATGATTGGTAATAAGCTAGTTTGGCATGCTGTCCCGGGAGAGAGCCCCGAGCTAGAAAGATCCTCGAGCCCGGTGCTCCCTCCCGTTGCAGGGGCGAGAGGGGAGTTTGAGCTCGGGTAGATCTCGAGAAATCCCCCCCCCCCTCCTGCTGCGTAAGGATTGCTAAGGTGATGTGTTGCTGACAGAATTGAATTTGGTGCTAATTTGGTGTAGTCAATTTACTTAGTCTCATGTTTTTGGGAGTGTGGGAGGAAACCGGAGGACCCGGGGAAAACCCACGCAAGCACGGGGAGAACATGAACTCCGCACGAAAAGTCTGACCGGTTGAGTGGAAACCCGAATCGGAGGCATTTTTTTGCTGTGAGGCCGCAGTGTTAGCCACTGGGCCGCCGGGCTGCCCTGTAGAAAAGAGGAGGAGAAGGGGTGGAAGGGGGGATTCTTCAAAACGAAGATGACTAAAGGTAGGGCGTTTGGTTATTTATACTGGGTTAGGAATAGCCTGATTGGTGGTTCGTCCAGCCGTGTCAATCATAAGCACGTGATCCTCTCGAAATTAGTTTATGAATAAACTTCACTAAAATCGTTCATTCCTCTGTGGCAACCCCGGATTAATAAAGGGACTAAGCCGACAAGAAAATGAATGAATGTTCCCTGAATCGTGAGCTGACCTGTAGCTTTTGATGTAGATGCTACTGTGCTGCTGGAGATACTGTAAAACAAAATAATCAAAAAATAAATAAAAACTAAACTTAATATATAGTCCAATAAATGAAAATACATTTAAAAAACTACTTAAAAATACCATAGGAACAGTATGCAGTTTTAAAACCTTGACTTTTCCAAGCTGTGGTAAACCTTGAAGCTGGTTATCGTCCCATGCACATTGCTAAGCTAAGCTAACTTCTCCCGCCAGACCTGAAAATCGGCCGAATTAATTCAAAAATGGTAAAACTCAAAATGTTTAATTCCAGGGCAGTTGTAAAATGAGCCCATTTTCGAAAAAAGTGGAGCATTTCTTTAAAGAGAGGGAATCATAAAAAGAAATATCCTCACTTTGTTCTTGTCTGGCTGGGGAGGTGTGGTTGAGTCGGTCTAATGAATCCATGCTGCCCTCCTTCAGCACATAATCGAAGCTCAAGATGAACATCATAACAACACCCTCCTGGTTCTTCACTGGAATGATGTGTGTCGCACACAGAAAGTCTGATCCTGCAGGTGAAAAGAGAAAAAAAACACTTTTAGTTCACCTATTAGTTTAGACAGCCAAACAAATCTAAGCATTAAGTGAGCATCTTTAAATGACCACTGACGTCTGATTAATTCTGCTTAATTGAGATTTATAATAATCATCTGGTTAATTGATAAATAAATAGAGGCAGAGGGTAACAGTGGAGAGCAGGTTACACTCTTCGTGCTTCGTGACACAAACAAACACGCAGTTTTTGTGTGTAGATGTTGACGCTCATTCAGTTTGACAGGTTCAGAATTCATTCCTGACAGGCGAGAAAGGGGGTCGCCATGGCAACCAAAGGGCAAGACGACCCTTGAGAAAAGCACAACGGAGAAGTGGTTATAATTCGTCTTAGGATTTGATAAAACCGGTGGATTTGAGTTCATCATTACTGGGGGACAAGATCTATCAGACATGCTAATTAGCCAGAGGATGCCACTTTCAGAGATCCTCAGTTATCCTCATCATTATCATAATCATGATCATTTTCTCAATCATCATCCAGTGCTTTCATGACAGCAATATACTTCACGAAAATAATCAGAAGAGAAATTGTCAGGCAGGCATTGATATAATTAACATTTGAAGTGGATCAAAACCTTTCATCAAAGTTGTCCTAAAACCAATTCATGTCTTAGAACAACACTGATAAACTTTTTTTGATCCAGTTTAAATGTTGACTACAGTAGATACAGTATACTGGCAGATATTGATATATACCTATGTACAGTACCTAAAACTCGCAATACTTGGGGGCCAATAACCAATTAATAGGCCAATAAATATAAAGATTGATATAATTTTAATTATAATAAGTCTGTTAACAAAAGCTAAAGGGAAATAGGGAAATACAGTTGACAAGTTTCTTACTATTCATCATTCATTCAGTTTCTTTTCCGCTTAGTCCCTTTATTAATTTGGGGTCGCCGCAGCAAATTGAACCAACTTATCCAGCAAATGTTTTACGCAGCGGATGCCCATCACTGGGAAACACCTATACACTCTCATTCACACTCATACACTACGAACAATTTAGTTAATCCAATTCACCTACACCGCATGTCTTTGGACTGCATGTCTCAAAGGCCTCTAGATTACGCTTATTTTACCAAAATAAAATATGATCATGCCTTGATTTGTAATTATTTCATTAGGACAGTAATGTCTGACTTTGCCTAAACAAAAGTCTTGTCACTTATATGAAATCATGGTGTAGAGGAAACAGAATTAAAATTGTGTATGACTCCCATGAGCTTGGACGGCTGCATCCATACATCTCTGCAATGACTCAAATAACTTATTAATAACGTCATCTGGATTGGCAAAGAAAGCGTTCTTGCAGGACTCCCAGAGTTCATCAGGACTCTTTGGATTTATCTTCAATGCCTCCTCCATCTTATCCCAGACATGCTCAATAATGTTCATGCCTGGGACTGGGCAGGCCAACCCTGGAGCACCTTCACCTCCTTTGCTTTCAGAAAGATGTAAAGGCTGAAGTATGTGAAGGAGCGCTATCCTGCTGTATGTATTTGTAATGTAATGGACAGCACAAATGTCTTGATACCTCAGAATATTGATGTTGCCATCCACTCTGCAGATCTCTCGCACACCTTCGTACTGAATGTAACCCCAAACCATACGTTTTTCTTTACCAAACTTGACTGATTTCTGTAAGAATCTTGGGTCCATGCGGGTTCCAGTAGGTCTTCTGCAGTATTTGTGATGATTGAGATACAGTTCAACAGATGATTCAACTAGAAGTCAAGTTATTGTTTGTTGCTCTTACAACTGGGATCGACGACAAGACTTTTGTCAGGTAGTGTATATATTACATACATAGACTGCAAAAAAAAATATATTCATTGGATTTACTATTTTTTTTAGGGTACATGGTACTATATGGGCTGAGTTTATACATTTACAACCCCTTACCTTAAAAAAAAACAAACAAATCCAATGTATTATTTATATCAGTGTATATGCCCTCCTTTTAAGCACCTTTCACTGTTCGATTCCGAGTTAAAAACGAGTGCTATACTCAACACTCCACACAGTGCATGGAAAGTTGATCTCTGCTCAACTGTGTCACATCAGCAACGCTCACTGTCGCTCATGTCGATGGAAACTGTGACTTCAGGTCTCTGCAAATCGCTGTCAGAGTGATCGCTCTATCAGGACGGTGAGGTCTTCTGCTTTGACGGCTACTCACGTCAGTTTTTGGAGATTCATATCAACAACAATCAGAGAACAGTACAGCGCTTGCAGAGAGACAAGAATTCCCTGTTCAGTTATTCTGGTGTGCAGCAGCAGCCAGAAACGTGTGGGAGCCTGTGGACCCGGCTTAATTTAGAACAAACCTACTGAAATGATCACTAATTGGTAACAGAGACATGGACTTTAGAAGCAAGCATGCTGTTTGTTTTCTGTGCTTTATTTGGCTGTGCCATCTATAAATATCTCAGACTGAGCTTTCGTCCAGTGTGCCCAGTGTTTCTCTGTCAGTCTGTGATATTATTAGCAGCTGTGCATGTGCGTGCACACACACACACACACGCACACACAGACCTTTCACAGTCACCACCTGCAGAACATCTATAATGCTATAATGCACAAACTCTCTCTTTCTCTATCTTTTTCTCTCTCAAACACACACACACAAAAACAACAGCAATCCAGCTGTAAGCACTAGTTCAACCAAAAATGAAAATTATTTTATTATTCACTCACCATCATGCTGTTCCAATAACTTGAGACCTTCATTCACCATCGGAACCCAAATGAATATATTTTACAGATCTGAGCGCTTCTTCATCCTCCATAGAGGTTTTTTGACTTATTTAAAGTCCAGAAAGGTACAAAAATCAATCCATATGCCTTTAGTGGGTCAATCAGAATATTTTAAAGCTTTGTGAATATTTTGTGCCACATAAAACAAAAATAATAACTTTATTCAACAGTTTTTTTTTTCTCCTCAGTGTCAGTATAGGGCTCGTGCTGCACTGATGTGAAACTTTCCTCCTGAAACTTTGTCTGTTTGAAACAAAGCCCCTAAACTGACTCTAAAGTGAAGAAACTGTTGAATGAAGTCAATATTTTTGCTTTATGATCGCACTAAAATATTCTGGTTGCTTAAAAATATTCAGATCGAACCGATGAAGGCATGTGCTCTGTTTTGAGGGCTTTTTTTATTGGTATTTTTCTTAATGGTCTCTACAGTTGAAGTCAGAATTATTAGCCCCCCTATTTATTTTTCCCCCAATTTTTATTTAATGGAGAGAATATTTTTTTCAACACATTTCTAAACATAATAGTTTTAATAACTCATTTCTAGTAACTGATTTATTTTATCTTTGCCATGATGACAGTAAATATTTTTTGACTAGATATTTTTCAAGACACTTTTAAACAGGTTAAAGTGACATTTAAAGGCTTAACTAGGTTAATTAGGTTGACTAGGCAGGTTAGGGTAATTAGGCAAGTTATTGTATAACGATGGTTTGTTCTGTAGACTATGAAAACAAAATTAGCTTAAATAGGCTAATAATTTTGACCTTAAAATGGTACATAAAAATAAAGATAAAACAAATAAAACTTTCTCCAGAAGAAAAAATATTATCAGACATTCTGTGAAAATTTCTTTGCTCTGTTAAACATAATTTGGAAAATATTTAAAAAAGAAAAAAAATCAAAGAGGGCTAATAATTCTGACTTCAACTGTATATGCAGCCTTGATGATGCAAGCTGAAACTGCATTTCTTAGTGATGCAATGCACTCAATGGAGCTAGTGACGTCTCTGTGAGGGGTAGGGTTAGGGGTGGGGTTAGGTTAAAGTGTTAAAAAGCATCGGATGCAGCTCACACTGCACTGCACCAGGTCTGCATCCAGACCCCTCTCATTTTTCTGGACTTTGAACAAGGCGGAAACCTCAACCTCTCTCAAACTCTAATGGAGGATGAGGGAGCTCTCAGATTTCACCTAAAATATTTAATTTGTGTTCTGAAATTGAATGAAGGTCTCAAGGTCTCAGGGGTTTGAAACAATGTAGAGGTGTTCAAAACTTGTATGACAAAGTTCAGAGCACTTATTAATATACTTATTAATAAGCTTTATTGTTTTGAGTTTTTTTTTACTGCTCCTTAAAGGCAAATCACAGTATACACTAATGGTCAAAAGTTTGGGGTCAGTTTTTCATTATTTTATGTTTTTTTAAGAACCTTGTTCTGTTCATCAAGGTATATAATTATTAAATGTAAAAAAATAAAATAAAAAAACTATGGTTAAATTGTTAAATAATTATTACAATTTTATTATCTGCTTTATTATTGTATGTAGTTTCAAATTAAATTATTACTCCAGCCATTACTGCTTTTATGACTATTACCATTAATAACAATAATAATAATAATAATTATTATTATTATTTTTATTGTTATTATTATTATTATTATTATTATTATTATTATTATTATTATTATTATTATTATTATTATTATTATTAGAGTGATTTCTAAAGGATCATGTAGACTGGAAGTATTGAAACTGAAAATCCATTATAAAATCACTGCAATAAATTATTCAATTACAAACCACTTTTAATCAGTTTTTTTTTCATATATTTTATTTATAACATATTTACAATTTTACAATTTGTACTGTATTTTTGCAGCCTTGGTAAGCAAGCTAAGGTAGTGTACATTTGCTCAAAAATGATTTACGATTCAGAAAAGATCATTTTTTTAAAGAAAATAAATAACAGCAGTAATAATAAACCAAATATAGCTAAACAAGCTCAAATTAATTTAAGTTACTTTGTTTTGATTTTTGACAGTTGGTTTTTGACAGTCGCTATGAAATGACTGAAATCATACAGTTTAGTAATATGGAACTGTAATGCAGTCAAGACCTACTTAGTTCACACCAAAAAATAAACATTTTCCTATTTATCATTTATAGTACTTACCCTTCACTTGTTTCAAA